GTCTAGGCACACGGAGCCGGACATCTCGTCAACGTTGGGGTGGAACATGCGGTTCTCGAATCCGATCGAGGGCGACTTGAAAGGGTATTCCTTGGGCAGCGTAACGTGTACCTTCCAGACCCCGCCCTGGTACGGAGCTTGTATTTTTTTCAAGCAGTTCACGTGACACAAACGCACGTAAGGGCAAAGTAACAATGCAACGGGTCAAACGGAAACATATAATGGCGAATTATAGTCTAGATCCAAATAATCGAAATTAGATCCACAAGGCCGCAACAGGCAACGAGGGGATGAAGAGCGGGATGTAGAGATACTGCAGGGCGTCCACACACACACTTGCACGCATAGCATATCAATGAATATGTGTGCCTGTGTATTTGTTGTCGCGGCACCAGCGGGGGAGAGTCAAGCCGCATGCGCCTGCATCCCCATCCGCTGAGGGAAAAATGCGCGAACCGACCAAGGGACCAATGATGATGCAACCTGTACGTGTGTGTGCTTGCTTCATAAAAACTCATACAATGTGGAGACCGCGCCTTACGCTGCGGCGGAAAGAGCGGGCGTGGGTGTCGAACAGGCGACGAACGGCGGTTGGTTGTACTACTGCTGTACACCCAGCTACCGTTGCTCTTGGGAGACGGTTCCCCCGCGAAGCACAGCTGTTCAGGCGCAGACACGTCGGGTCGGTTCGTGAAAAAACACGGCGGACGAAAGAGGCCACTTGGAAAGCTTCAAACAAGTAATCGCGGCTGAAAAAAAAAGAGCAACGTTCCAAATCTGGACAAAAGAGCCCTCTGGAAAAAAGTCGGAAAAGCAACTGCTATGTTGTTGTTGCTTCTCTCTGTCTGCTCCGTGAACTCACTGTCCTCAGGGCCTGGGAACGCCACCAAGAAGTCGTGCATGCTAGACTCATCCGGAATGTGCACCTCGAAGTCGCTCATCATTCTTCCCGCGTGGAACAGCGGGGGGAGAACACAAGAGAGAGGGGGGGCAGGGAGAGGAAAAAATCATCATCATCCGCAAGCAGCAATCTGAGGGCATCATCATCATCGAGTTTGGCCGGCATGGGGTACGTGTGCGCTCGGGGTAGACATGAAAAAAAAAAAACACGCGGCAAAAACCTAGCGGAAAAAAGGGTGCGAGAGGATGCGTCACAACATGGAAGCGCGAGGGATGCGCACATACCAGGACGATGTAGGCTACCCGGCACGCCGCCCTTGAGGCGCGGGTCGCGTGCATTTCCACGCTGTAAATGCTGCTGCTTTCCTTCGCGTGAAGCATAGAAGAGGCAGAAGTGCGTTGGTGTGTTCGTTCGGCAAAAAAAAAATTGCTCTCGTATTTTTGCTCTCGCTCGTAATCGCTCCCTTGTGTCTGCACTCACAGTTTCATCATATCGGTGTCCCGGCGTTTTGAAGGTGACATCGACAACATCTTCTCCGCCCTCGATGGAAGATGGAGCTCGTGAAGTTAGCGCGGAGGTTGTGCGTGGTGGCTGGCGTTTTGGAAAGTGACGAAAGAGCGAGCAAGGTCAGGTTCAACAAGCCCATTCTCGTGGGAGGAATATTCACAACTTTCCGACACGACGACGGGCCCACTGGGCGTTCTGCCTCAGCGACGCTCACACCTGCCCCACCCCCGGACAAGAACGCGACACCTTCAACAAAACAACACCCCTCTATTCCCCACGAGCCGTACGCACGCGTAGCCCGCGTGGCCGGCCGTGGACGTGACGCACCTCGCCGGAGAGACGAAATCCCCGCTGGGACTTGGTCCTATTTGCTGCGCTGTGCTCGCGAGCCTTGCGTCACACGGCGTGTCACAAGGAGAAGCGAAGGGGAGGGCAGGGAGAGGCGCGGGGGAATACCGAGGGAGTCGCGGTAGTTCTCTGAGCCTGGAGAGCCTGGCGCTGAGTTGACCTATTCTCGGGAAGAAATTAGCGTCGATGTGTACGAAGGGTAAGTTGAATTCGCCTGTGTGAGAACACGGGTTGACTGGCTGCATCTTCAAAACGCGGCGAAAAGACTGACGGTTGACCAGATCGAAACGGCGAACGTTCGTTCCCATCGACGCATCGACCAGGTTCGACCGCTGTTGCTGGGCTCACGGGGTCCCACGCACAACAATTGTTATTTTTTTGAAACAAAACTAAGTAAGGCTTCGATGCGCTCCCCCTCCCACGATGGGGGCCACAGCCTCTGTGAGAAGAAGCAGCAGCAGCAATGGCAGCAGCTCCCCAGCAGTAGCCGAGATGGGAGCAAAGGGGCAAGGCGGGGCGTCAGGAGGTATGCATACGGCGGTGGTTCCCGCGGGCGATGGCGACGCCGCCCTCCGGCACGTACTGCGCAACCTGCAGCTCTCTCCCGATCTGATCGACAAGTCGACGGCCGCTATCTACGCGCACGTTCGAGATCCGGTAGAGCACCCGGTCGATGAGGAGCTCGCGCGCCTCTGCACCTCCGAGTACACGAGAGGGGCGCTGCACGCCTTGTCGTGGTATCTCCTCGCTTTGTCGGAGCCTGACGGGCATTGTCGTCGGGCAGAAAACGAGGCGGTCGAGAAATCAGCAATGGCAACATTGACACAAAGGGCGGGTAGCAGCAGGGCCCGCTCGCCACGACCTCTGCAGGTAGAGCCTAGGAGAGGATCGGGGGAAGGAGAAGAAGGGGAAGGGATGGGTGGCGAGGCCATGACGGAAAGCGTCTCGGGAAAGCTGGCAACCTTCTTCAGCCGCTTGAGACCCACGCGGAGCATGCCGTCGAAGGGTCAAGCGACCATCGTCCCGACAGGAGACGACGAAAGCAGCTCTGTTGAACAAGAGTCAGCGACGCCACGCGCTGCTGGTGCTTCTGGTGCTGTCGCTACCCTACCTAGGCTCACCATGCGCGTTGGAATCACCACACCCAGAGCCACGCCAAGAAGGGGACCTAACCTGCTGGCTGGATTGGGGCTCGGATCGCCGTCCGGCCGAGCGGGGGAAAAGATAACGCCTCGACGGGCGCCTGTGCGGACTGGACACTGGAAACTGGGACACGAGATCGGAAAGGGATCCTTTGGTTCGGTGCACATCGGGCTGAACGAAGACAGCGGGGATTTGATTGCTGTCAAGCTGCTGTCGCTGAAGAACGCTGACCAGGCGGAAGAGTTGTACACGGAGATAGAGCTCATGAGACAGCTGACGCACCCGAACATCGTTTGCTATCTTGGCGCAGAGGTGATGGAATTAGTATTATAGACTTTATGTATATTCATGTTGAAACCTTGCTTGTGCATTTAGAGTACTGCTGCTGTGTAGGAATCACGTGAAATGACCGAGTCTTGCACACACATCCAAGCAACATACACAGCAGCAACGTCGTTATTTCTCCTGTTTGTCGTGCATGTGCACACAATGAAGTAGAGATAGACAAACAGTATATACAGTAGGTCTAGTGGATTGACTGGGGCGTAAAAGTATATACAGCAGTAGTAGGTCCAGTGGATTGACTGGGATGTGGCCACGTCGTTCGACTGGATCATCGATAGTATCACTCCTACGAAATAATTCGAATGTTTGACTTGTTTAGCACAGATAATAATCTTGTTCCCGCCTAAACTAACCGAGATGGATCCCGACTGCCGTATCTTGTACCAGCATACTTCCATTTTTTTGAAACCAACAATAAGAAACAACAATTGCTGTGAACATTGTACCATGTTAGTACACAGCAGTAACAATGCTGCTGGGTCCGTTGTCCTAAGAAGTTGTAGTTGTATCTGATACTAGAACTGGTATTGCATATACCTGTTTCCCTTTCACACCTACCTGTCCCCATGTCGCCGGTCCACCCGAATCTACAAAACGGGTTTGAATCAGGTGAACGACAACGAGAAAACGATCTCGATATTTCAAGAATGGGTTCCGGGTTCTGTTACAACCTTGCTGGTGAACTTCGGGCCATTTTCCGATCGGAGGATAGCTGACTACACCAAGCAGATCTTGCAGGGTCTCGTGTACCTGCACAGCGAACGGGTTATCCATCGTGACATCAAGGGGGGCAACATTTTGATCGATGATCGCGGGGTTGTAAAATTGTGCGATTTCGGAGCTTCTAAGGTGAGAACACGAAGCATTCCACAGCAGTACAATGTGGTTGTGTTTCCTCTATCTGTATACAACACAGGGCAATGCTTACATCGGGCGATCGTACGTGCACAATGTGTTATCGTCCAATATGGCGACAATCCCCCCAGTTTCATGGTGAGACGTGTACTACACCTTTCAGTGTATGTAGAGCACTACACGTTTCACTGTATCTTTTCATAGAGTGCAAGAGACAAACCTGATTTGAAAAACTAACTGACTTTGAGACGAACTTGTGAAGAAGCGCCAAACATCGATTTGCAACATGCTTCGCGCCGGCTTCTATACGGCGACAATGGACACGAGCGGTTGTTTTGGTGGTACTTTAACGAGGGGACGGATGATGACAAAGACAAGTAGGCAGTGACCAGATCTTGGAACAGGGGCCGATGTCCGCGTTACTTAGCCCGCCTAAGGAAAAAAATGCAACAACCCATGCATGCTTCAAAGCAACACTCCATCATCATTTTCTCATATCAGATGCACTGCCGGCGTGTGTGTCTGTGTTTTCGTCCTATTTATTATGGCGACAGTCCCCCCGTTTTTCGTGGTGAGACGTGTACTACACTTTCCAACGTATGCAGAGTACTACACTTTTCAGTGTATTTTTCGTACAACTACAACTATCCAGGGTCACACAGGAGGGGGCAAACACCAGGGCTTTTTTCTTCTTTTTATTTCTTTTCATGCCCCACCTTCCTCCTGCGGTGCGTGCTGAAATTTTATTTTTGTCGCGAGAAGGGTCCAGCTGTCCCTTTCACTCGTCAACGGTGCTAACGTCGAAGTCTGGTACTCACGAGAGCTTGTTAGNCCAACGTATGCAGAGTACTACACTTTTCAGTGTATTTTTCGTACAACTACAACTATCCAGGGTCACACAGGAGGGGGTAAACACCAGGGCTTTTTTCTTCTTTTTATTTCTTTTCATGCCCCACCTTCCTCCTGCGGTGCGTGCTGAAATTTTATTTTTGTCGCGAGAAGGGTCCAGCTGTCCCTTTCACTCGTCAACGGTGCTAACGTCGAAGTCTGGTACTCACGAGAGCTTGTTAGCTATATTTTGCTTTCACCCGCACATTTCGTAAATTTTTCACCCCACGGGGATTCGAACTCACGACCTCTGCGACTAGCGGATTACGAGGATACCACTAGACCACCGGTGTAGGCTGGGGAGAACAGCAGTCATCGGGATTCTAATTCCTCAAGCAGTCCCTGCGAGGCGGCGGTGACGTCTGCAAACTGAAGATGCGGCGCGATTCCTGCTGGAAGTTTGACGGTTTCAGTTTGACGCATCGCCGACGTTGGTTGCTCGTGCCCTGCCTCCGTTCATTTACAGCTTCTTGATGCGGACAGCTTCACGGGCTTGGGCGAACACACCCGGGTGGGCAGCCCACTTTTCATGGCTCCAGAAATATTGCTACGGGAGGAATATGGGCCGCAAGTGGTGAGTGGGGGAGGGGGCCAATGTGGCGGTAGAAGTATCGTCACCATTGCAAGAAGTTCCATACGAATAACGTAGCTTGGAATCAGGGCGGGAAAGGAGAAAAGCCGCGATTCGTAACCATGCCAAAAAGGGTGTACGACTAGGAAGATATGATTGCCTGTGAAGAGCATAAACTGGCGACTTCTGTAGAAAAATGGAGCAAGAGCCGTGGATTGATTTACTCGATGTAATGACTGGTGATGATAGAAACGCAAACACAGACCAGGCGCTCCAGCCCCTCGTCGACGGGTGCTCGACCGAGTCTCGAACGTGCGCGTAGATAGCAGCCTAACGGTTTGATTTCGGCTTCAGTTAAGACTCCTTGATCCCAGCAACAACGGTCGAACCTGGCTCGATGAGAACGTTCGCCGTTGTCAAGCGTTTCGAAGTGGCGAGCCGTCGGTATTTGCACCCCGTTTTGTTTGAACATGCAGCCAGTCCAACCCGTGCTTCACAGCGGCGAATTCGACTTACCCTTTCGCACACATCGACGCTAGTTTTCTTCCCGAGTCGAAGACAGCGAGCTCACCACCAAAATCTCCAGGCCTAGAGATATAACAGCATCAAGCTGAGTAAAACTTGGGGTCTGTGTGCCTTGAAAACACCGCGACAACCCCGCTCCTCCAGATGCCATTTTTTTCCTTTATCCTCCTCACCGTGCACTTTACGTCTGCCCCTCCTGGGTACGCGTGCGTGGCTTGGCTACGTCAGGACGTTTGGTCGCTTGGTGGAGCGGTTCTCGAGATGGCGACGGGCCAGCCGCCATGGCACACGCTCAACCTCCGGACGCCGGTGGCCCTGATCAACTGGGTGAAGCGGACGGAGGGGCCGCCGCCGCTGCCGGACTCGCTGTCGCAGCCACTCACCAAGTTCCTGCTGCGGTGCTTCGAGAGGGACCCCAGCAAACGGGCCACGGCGAAAGAGCTCCTCTCGGACCCGTTCGTGGCCAAGCGGCGCGGGGAGCGAGTGCTCGCGCCCAGGGGTTCGACCGTGAGCGACGCGGACAGCGTGGTGAGCGACATTGACACCCTGAGTCGCACAGCCGCCATCGCCAGGATCCGCCGCGCCTCCATCTCGGACTACTCGCGGCCGAACTCGGACCAGTCGACGCGCTCGGCGCCATCGCTGCGTACGCCGGGCTTAGCCATGGGTCCGCAGCCGGCCGGGGGAGCCGGGGGAGCCGGGGGGGGCGGTGGGGGCGGCGGTGGTGGTGGTGGTGGTGGCGATATTTTGCCGGACCTGGCCAAGCAGGTTGCAGCCAAGCTGGAGGATGGCTCCGCGGTGGGAGACGGAGGCACGCCCCCGAGACGACCGGTATCGCTACATTCCGGGCTGTCGCCCAAACTGCGGGTGGAGACGGCTGGCCTGGAGCCGCCCGCCTCCTCTTCTGCTGCGCCTCGGATAACCACTCCCCCCCCGACCCGACGCTTGTCTTCGGGCCGGAACTCTCCGGGAACTCCGAACCCTTTCGGCGGTAGACGGCGGAGCCTCGACACCAGCCCCGATGGCGCACGCAGCAGCCCCAGGGCCAGCGGTGTTTCGCCGGCAGCATTGGGATCTTCTGTCGTGCCCCAAGACGGCGACCAAAATGGCGGTCGGGGTAGGTCGGAGCGCGCACCCGCTGCCGCTAGAACGGCATCGGCCTTGGTCTCGGCGACGATAGCTGCGGCAGTTGGTAGCGTGGGGAAGGATGGTGGCGATCACGTGACCGCTACGCACGCTGTGAAGCGAAGTAGTAGTGACCGCAGCTGCGGTGCGGTGGGGGGCAGCAACAGCTGCAGCAGCACCAGCAGCACCAGCAGCACCAGCCAAGGAGATGAAAAGGCGGGTGGTGGTGGTGGTGGTGGTGGGGACCCAGCTGCGCTTCTCGCAGCAAATTCTTCGCCCGACGATGATGTGTCAACAAAGGTCGTGGGGGGGGCGGGTGGCGGGGATCCAGCTGAGCTCCCACGTGCAGATCCTTCGCCCGACGATGCGCCAAGAAAGGTCGCAGGCGGGATAGCACTACCAGCAGCAGACGCTGCAGGCGAAGTGAGGTATCCCGTCAAGAAAACGAGGTCGGGGCGAGGTGGGCGACCGTAGTGGCCGTCGGTCTGGAGACCCCGAACCGGAAGCTTGTTGCGAGTGAAATTAGTAGTGGTGAAAGTTTCTGGAGCTTTTTGTCGCTCGGGGGCGGGGGGGGGGGGGGT